AGACAGGTAGACAGACAGACAGACAGACAGGCAGACAGACAGCTTTATATTCTGCGTCCTGAACGAACCTCAGCTTTCAGTAAACAAGATGTTAACCAGAACTACAAGAGCCAGAGGAGACAGGTGAGAGCAGGTAGGTTACCTGACAGGTAGGTTTGGGCTGCTGTTGATACCAGGATGACATGCAGCAGCTACTGCTGTCTGACCTCGTGGTTCACCTGCCAAGCAGCACTGAACTAACAGATAATCGGCCGTAAGTACTGAAATATTTAATCCATTTTAGTGCAACATCAGGAAGCGACAAACATTTTCATGTGGCACAACGCCGCAGATTCAGAGTTCACTGAAATATAGTTTAATTCTTCTATAACCTGCGTCCGCTCTGGTGCTGCTGCTACAATATATAGTCTATTAACTCATGAATGTATACTGTAGGAGGTTCCCAACCCCAGGCTTACGGACCAGTACTGGGAAACCGTATAATTTAGGAGATAAAAGATGAGAAATAATAATGAAACTGTGTAACTTATTGTTTGTGGTGCACTTTGAACTTTCAGTCTGTGCTGCGTATCGCTCCCTGTCTCGTCCCAAACAACAGTAAACTGACTTGAAGTAGATGAACTACCTGAGGGCTGCTGACAGGTGTGTGTGTGTGTGTGTGTGTTTCTTATCTTATAATAAGTAACCACAATAAAATACAGGTCAAATAAATTCAAATGTCACTCTCTGTTTCGTTTCTATCACTTTCTCTTTTACCCCTCATGACGACCCTTTCCCGCCCCGGTCTTCCTGTTCCGGTCTGTGTGTCTGCTTTGTGTGCAGGTAGAGGAGGTGGGCGTGGCACACCTGGGCCTGTCTCTAGGAGCTCAGTACTGCCTCCTCCCTGACACAACCACTGTGTCTCTGCACTCACCCTCTGCCGCGGCCGTCTCTCCGTTTCTCTCTACAGCAGTAATGAAGCTGATTTGTGTGTCAGGAGGATTAACAGACATCACACCTGAGCTGAAACCTTCATGAACCTGCACGTGAACGCACAAACAGACGAATGGGTGACTCTCCGTCTAACCTTTTCTGTAAGCGTGCGCAGTAATGTGTCTGCCCAGTCGGTTGGCCGGATATACAAAAGTCTGCAGTGCAAAAAAGGTTTAGGAAGTCTTCTCCTGCTTTATTTACAGCATTACATGAAGAAGTGGTGACTTTTACACAATGTGACAATAATCTAAATACAACACAGACACCTTTATGTCCTGTAACACCTCAGACACACAAACAGAAAGCTTGTTCAGAAACACACGTCACTTAAATCATGGCTGTGACATCCGTGTGTTACACAAATATAGATTTCAGTTTTGTAGATCTTACAAATAATCAACGCCTGAATGAATTGTGGATAAGTTGCTGAGTTGCTGATACGCAGCATGAGAAGATGGTTCCTTCGGTTCCTCAGTAACTAAATATAACCTCCATTAAGAGCCTGGATGGCGGCGGTTTCATTTTTGACTGTCGACTGGAATTGAGGATATTGCAGCATCGACTGGCTGAGAGATTCACAGAGCTGCAATAAGTCTCATGTTTATGGATGTTCCTGTTAACGAAGCTGCTCTGTTACATTCCTATACTTTTACAGTCGGTGATGGACCATAAGTGTGGTTAGGTTCACTATCAGTGACGGTCCCTCGGGTCTTAGTATCTGTCGACACTGTGAACGGGGCTCTCTTGAATGTACACTTCTTTTATTTAAGTGGTCGTCTGGTTAAAAGCCTGATAAAATACTTTTGAAGCTGAAGGAGAATCAGAAGACTCAGGGAAGGGTACTGCAGGTCAGTCCGCCCCGCCGAGGCATCCTGAAAAACAACACAAATCCACCCACTGTGGGGCCGCGGGGCTGACGTACAGCGGGCCACTAACAAACACAATCCACCGCTCCAGCAGCAGATACAGGGCTAAGAAAAGAGAGAGAAGCACAGAGTTGAGTGAAAGACGTGAATGTTTGCAGAACCAACGCTCACAGTGGATGCTGATTATTTATACGTGTTATTTATGGACAAAAAGAAAGTGACCTCTGAACTGAGCTGTAAAGACAGCGGGCGTGGGGGGTTAGCAGGCTTACAGACCACAGTAAGCCAATTCAGCTACACACACACACACACACAAGTGCAGTATCTGGTCATTTCCTGCTGAATGACCCTTAAAGACGTTAAAAAGCAGGTAGAGACACAGAATAAGAATTTCATTGCATTGAT